AAATGGGGATAAATAATCTTACCTACCTCCTAGGGGAGGGGAAGTTCTGAGAATGGAGTCATTCTTAGTGTTCAGGTGCTAAAGGTGGTTCTCTTCGGAACGGAGTGACAGAAGCTGGCTGGTGTACTACGAGCCCTAAATTCTGTCCCAGACCTTGAGAACAGATACCTGGTCAGCGAGCTTTTAGGGAAGCATCCCAAGGAAGCTGATTACCTGACAAGTACTTAGGTCTCAGAGTTTGTCAGAGTTAGACACCAACCTTGTGCTGCAGTGGAGATTGCAGCCTTTTTCCCTTCTCTTGCCCCCTTCTCTGATTGCTGCTTCTCTGGCTTATTTCCTACAGTGGGGGCCTGTGGGCTTGAGTCTTGAGGAATTCTCTCAAATAAGAGCTGTAGGAGAAGGCCTCCTCTCTGACTGTTTCATGAGCAACTCATTCCTAGGGATTATTGTATGCATGGATTTCTAGCAAGCCCCCTTCCTCCCAGGAAGGCTCACCATGAGAATTTAGTGACATGCACTGTAGATGCTCAAGAAATGTCTACCAGGGGTACCACTGAGCTTCTTCCCAGTGGGGCCAACATGCATCTGGCTGTAGTTGAGGTCAAATCACTCTGCTCTCTACTTAGACTAGCTGTAGCTCCCTAGCCTGATAATGCCCGCTGAATCCTGGAAAAGGACATTGTTGAGGGCTTTGACAAAGTGGGCACGGACTTTTCTGCTGTGGTTCTCTTCTGTCCCTGTCTGATAAAGTCATAACAGCAACTCCCTTAATATGGTGCCATGCATTTGAAATGTGCTTTTGCTGAGCTGTGGGTTACCTTTCCTGAAGTGTGCGCCCTAGAAAAGAATTCTTGTCAGAGCTGTGGCAGTACTTACCCTAAGTGTAAGAGACATAAGTGGTTTTTAGGGTGAGCATTTCAGTGATTAGCTGTCAGCTTTTGGGGACTGGGCAGTTGACAAAGATCAGCCCATTCCTAGTCAGTGATAGGACATTCCCAGAACTTGGAGAAAGTTTTGAAACAATAGGCCAATATGTATTTTGAAATACATAGGCCAGTTTAGAAGAAGGGGAACTTGGTAAAGGATGATTAGTAATCTAAGATTTAGATCATCCTTATTAAGACAGGATCAGAAAGGTCTTGAGCCCTCCGGTCTCAGTGCTTATACCCGAGGGAGGAGCCTGAGAAGAGCTAGACTGATTCTCCTTACACTTAGGGTCCCATTTGGTCCTAACACCATGGACTTTGCTCTGTGCTGCTTTTCCACCGCTATTGTATGCTCACTGTCTGCCTCTTGCCCAATTTAGCTCCTGTTCTTCATGTCTTTGGCCATGTAGATTAAGCTCAGGCATCCTGTCCACTCTTCCTTGTGTTCTGCCAGTGCGCGTAGCATTGCCATGTGGAATAGGGACGGTCTGCATGCTTTGGATGGGCTGGTCGGTCTGAAAGGATGTGGCTTCAGTGCTGGCGGAGCCCATTGGCTCCAAAAATGTGCCTGTCTTGAGAGAGAAACAGGTCCTACCAGAGCCTGCTTTTTCTCTCCTTTATGGTACTTTATAGCCTGTTTTAAAAACAAGAGGAACCACGTTAGGGCTTGAGCCAGGATCCTAGTGGCATTCTTGTCCCATTTTCTGGGGTTGAGGAAGAGTTTGAAGTGTGGCTGAAATAGCTCCTCCAGTTGGGATTAATTTTCTTTTTACCAGTAGGTATCATACACATTTTAAGAGAACAGGATGGTGGCATGATTTAAACCTGCATTGAGTAAGCATATTGAGTGGTTGGTCACACTGGCATGAGTTGAAGGTAGACATTGGGAAAGGCTCAGGCCTTTGGAGTAAAGATAACCAGATGAATTGAATTGGCTGTGGGAGATTAGGCCACAGTCCTAGAAGCAAACAAGACAGAGGCCAAGTTTTAGAGAGGTGTGTTGACCTCCTAGGATTAAGTTTACTAAACTACACTGAAGCTATAGTACTTTCTAGATCAGAAAAGTTGTACACTACAGTAGAAGAGCTGAATTCTACTATAGATGGATGTTGTTAGCCTTTGCGTGGAAGCCGTCACCTTCTAGCTTCCCCTGGACAGGTCTCCCACATTATGCAATAATAAAATAAGCATCTGGGTCTTTGCAGCTGTCAGTTGTTTTTCTCAACTCTAGGATCCATCTTTGGACCGAAAGCCTGGTCTGGGCCTAGGATGACACTGGCCTTGATGCTAGAGTTGTTTGCATTCTCTCCTAACCTGCAGACTATGCAGTTCTTGGAGCAGAGGGAGAGGTGGTATGGCTTGTCCTGTTGAGCTCCTCAGCAGGAAAATAGTAATAAATGCACTTTTCACATTAAAGGTTTCTTTATTAGTTCTCCTGTTAAGCCTAGGATCTTTCCCTAGTAGATTGCAAACTCAACAGTCCGTGTAATCCCAAAGCCATTCCACTGCAAACGCCTAGCAGTAAAGATGGCTCCAGACTGGGTTCCTGCCTGCAGTGTGTGTGACAGCAGCCCACGTGCCTTTACCTAATGTCAGACTTGCAAGAGTTTAGTCTGTCTTTATGTTAGGGGTCCTAGGTACTTGAGAGAGAGAGAGAGAACAGATAACACAGTGGTTTTATGCCCACCTCACCCCCTGCCAGGGACTTTATGTGTAGTTGTAAACTGAGGGTTGGTGAGCTGCTGGTATTGCTGAAGGCAGGGTGGACCCCTCATTTGCTTCATATGTGCACTCAGTGAATTGGATTGGGGAAGAGACTGGCCGTACTCATGGCTAACTTGAAGTATTAAAATACGGCTGTCCTCCACACACTTCCTCGACATACAGGATCCCTGTAGCCAAACAGTATATGTTCCAGCTGCAGAGAGCAGACTGCTCTCAGCTTGCACAGCACCTTAGGGGAGGGAAGAATATATGGATAGGTAATAGGGTGGAGACAGGATGGGAATTTTGTCATCCAGGTGGCTTTAGGGTCCTAAGGAGTAGAGAAGGATGGCACTGGGGAGGTCTGGATGGATCTGATTTGTGTAAGAGTTCCCTGTAGATAAATTACTGATCCCCCAACCACTATCCCCAGTATGTAATGGCTGAATTAATATGTAATCAACTGCATTGTATCTAAAGCCTTAGAACTAGTCAGGTGCTCCTCCCACCCAATACCATTTCTTACCCTCTAATCCTACATGATCTTTAACAAAGCATTAATAATTCGAAGGATAATCTCTATTTTGTTGTGCTTTTTTGTAACTGTTTTAAATAAATCAATTTGTACTGTATATTTGTACTTTTGTGAGATCCTTTTTGCTGTTTTACCATTTTAAGTCTCTGTACTTGGGTACACACAGATTGTATTTTTATTGTTAATGCTCTTCTTATGGATACCTGCATTTAACTTGTGGACTATGTAAACACAATATATATCAATATCTATATATCTATATATTAATCTATATAAACTACTAGCTTTTCCTTTTGGTGTTTGCGCCTTTTTCCTATCTCAGTGTGATGGTGGCCATTGGGGCAGGATCACTTGGAGTAAAGATGGTATGGTCATTTGGTAAACTTGGCAAATGGTGGGAACTACCTGATCCATGGTTCGTCCCCACTGGTGTGGATTTCAGAGTCTGGGAAATCTACCTGTAGACTAAGGTCAGCAGTAGGACTAATAGATGGCCTTTCTACCTGTCCTTTACTCTGGCATACTGCCACACATTGCTGAAATAACCCCAGTCATAGCCTCTGCTATGAAATGTTTACCACCAGTAAGTGATGAAACACTCAAGTACCTTTATTTACTTACTGTGTGCCGCAAAGGATCCTAAATGCATTATCCATCATCTGTTGCTATTATTACTACCATTTGGGACAGAGATCTGGCTCAAGTTACACAGTAATGGTACAGGGTTTTTTTTTTTAGTTCTAGGTCTTTTTTTTTTTTTGGTTTTTGAAGCAGGGTCTCTCTATAGAGCCCTGGCTATCCTGGGACTATGTAGACTAGGCTGGCCTCAAACTCTCTGTCTCTGACAGAAACACCTGTCTCTGCCTCCCAAGTGCTGGGATAAAAGGTGTGCATGACCACACCAGGCTTGTTCTGTGATTTTGGTTGGTTAGTCGTTTTTGCGATGGTGGGATTGAACCTGAGGCCTCCAGTGTGTTAGGCAAACAACGACTGAGCTGGAGTTTTGAACCCACAGATCTGTTCCTGAATTGTACTAATTCAGAATGTTGTGGAAATAATTGGATAAGTATTCCTTGGGACAGAATGCATCCAGTTACTTGAAATATTTCAAATAGGATTTTGGTATGCAACTCTGTGAAATGCATTTGGATCAATTAAGTATATAATTTCTTTTCAATGTAATTTTTTCTTCTCTTTCGAGACAGGGTTTCTTAGTGTACAGCCCTGGCTGCCAGACACTGGGTCTTGCAGACTAGGCTGGCCTCAAACTCAAGAGATCTGCCTGTCTCTACCTCCTGAGTGCCACCACCCCCTGGCTTCAATGTAATTCTTAAAAGTATTTTTCAGAGGTCAGTAGGACTTAACCCCTATTTTGTTGAAAGTCATTTGACACTTTTAAACAGCCTTAGACCTACAGAGGTGGGAGAGGAGTCCAAGTGTCTGTTACATTGGAAGAGGTCCACATTCCTGGCATAGTTATCTTTCTGGCAACAATTTAACTAGGGCACATCCTTCTGGACCGTGTGATCTATAAATACCCAGACTGTGCATAACCTTTGCTGCAGGCTAAGGGAACTTCTGCTTGTTTTTGCAGCAGCACTGAATCAGAAATTGAGCAGTGCTCTTCTCCAGTGCATGGCAGCCAGACTGCAAGAGTAGGCAGTTGTTTGCTCTGGTCTTCACCACAGCTGTCTTGATCTTGGACAGCCATGTTAAAGCACATTCTGCCTCAGAAAGGAACAAGCCACCAGAAACCACTCCTGAGCGTTCCCATCAAGCTCTCTCCTAGTACACTTCATTGGATAAAGCAGTGAAACAAAAGAGCCAAGGGCCAGTAAAGATAAAATTAATTTATTTGCCCTCACAGCTTCATGGACTGTACTGGGGTCCTACAGTCCCATAACCCTGGCCTGCCACAGTGGACTGAGGAGTCCAGGTTTCTGGAGTGCCTGCTCCTTTGTCCAGAGCTGCCTTGAGCTGGGTCCCTCCTGGCCCCATCATGTTCCCACATGCAGAGGGTGCACAGGTTTCCCTGCAACCAACCCAGGCCTGCCTGTGGCAGCAAGGACTGTGGCCTCCTGGGTGACTGCAGCACTGATCCCTATGGGCTGGAGTGGACAGGAAGTCAGGCAGGAGGGTGTGGTTCAGTGCAGAGAGCTGCTGTTCTGTTCGTCAAAAGCCATTTTCCCCAGAAGCTGGCTGTCCAACTCTACCCCACTCACAGGCAGCTGGAAGAAGTTCATTTCAGCTGCTAAGGCTGCCATGGCAGAAGGGTCCTGACCAAACTGAGCTCGCAACATCATGTCCATTTTCTCTAGTCTCCTCTTGAGCCTCTTAGCTTCTCGCTCCCGGATGAGTCGGGCTTGCCGCTTCTCTGGAGTTTCATTGGCCCGCTTCAGCCTCATGGCCTCACGGTCTCGCTGTAGCCTGCGAGCTCGCTGCTCATCTGTCTCCTGCATGCGCTGCAGGCGCTTGGCTTCACGGTCCCTCATGCGCCTGACCTCCCGCTCCTCTGGGGTCTCACTGTCTCGCCGACTCTTCTTGGCTGTGCGTTCTCGTTCAAGCCGTTGTAGTCGTACTTCCAAAGGTTCATTCTGTCGACGGAGGGCCCACTTGCGCACACTGGGAGTCTGTGTTTCCAGTAGCTTGCGGTAGGCAGCACAGTTGTTGCACACAAGCAGAATTCCAGCAGGGTATACTGGAGGACTACAGGTAATGTCCTTCCCTTCAGCACTGGAGGGGCCCTCACTGTGGACTTGGGGTAGGGATTCCATATTAAGTACTTCAGGAAGTTTCTCACTGGGAAGCCAATATTTTTGATGATTAGTATCTCTGTGTAGTAAGCCTCAGGTACCCAGGTAACTGACTTGCCCCATAACCACTAGAAAACTGTTCAAAGTCCACCATTAGGACAGTGGAATGCTTGAAAGACCCCCTTCTCTTCTTTGGACTAGGGTATCTACTAAATTTTAAAGCCCACCTTGAATTAGCAACTGAACCACCTGCCATAGAAACCTACCCAAGGCAAAGCCAGAAAGGCAGTATCTTGTAGGTGCTAAGCAGGGCTGGGCCTGTTGTGTGAATGAGGGGTCTGGAGGTGGAGATTTCCTTCACACAGGTACAATCCACAGCTTTACCTCCTACCTGGCCTTGCCCACAAGGAAACGTAGCTTGTGCATTGTACAACCAAAGCAATGGGATGAGGACAGTGTTTGTCTTCCTGGAAGACAGCAGAGTGTATCCTTACATAGGATCCTCTCAGCATATTGCAGCTTCTGTCTGCTTGCTTTATCATGAATGCTCTTGTGTCTCTGAATCACTTTCTAGTTGGAAATACTCTGACAGGGAAAGAAAAGCAATTCGTTTCCCTTGAGGGACTATCTAGTGCCTACTGTCAAGCTTATCTCCTAATCGCATCACTTCTATTTTCAGATTGGTCTATCAACTCTTTGGCATTACTTATCTCTAGCCTTTCTTTTGACCTGGGAAATCAGCATCTTATATCAAGTAATTTGCTTAGCACAAGATCAGGTGTTCTACTAACCTGTTAAAAGTGGCATGGCTAGTAAAACGGGCTCCACACACAGCACAGTTAGACCGTTGGTCTTCCGAATGGATTAGGAGGTGGCGACCCAATGACCCTGGGGAGCTAAGGGCCCGTCCACAGACAGGGCACATGTAACTCTTGGCACTCACCACTGCTGCAGTATGCTGTAAAACAAAGTCTTAATATGTTAATTTTGTGTTACCTCCAGTACAATCTGCACCCCTTCCTTTTTTCCCCTTAGAATGAAGAACTTGAAACTATCTGTTTAGTCATTCAGGCCACTGCTCATATTTTATTATTGCAAATTCTAACCATATTCAGGGATACATAAAATGGCTTGAAGAATAATGGAGCTCCAGAGCTCTCCAGAGGCTCTTGATAGTTTGGGCTTCCCTGGCTCATATTATGTAGTTACAAGTGTACTTTAAGGTGCAATGAAGGAGTTGGATAGTAGTAGTGGTATGAGCAGGTATTTATGGCGGCCTGCCTTTCCTCAATCCTCTAAAGAAACTTTTTTTTTCTTTTGGTTTTTCAAAAATAGGGTTTCTTTGTGTAGTCCCTAGCTTTCCAGGAACTCACTCTGTAGACCAAGCTGTCCTCAAACTCACAGAGATCCACCTGCCTCTGCCTCCTAAGTGTTTGGATTTAAGGTGTGTCCATAACTATCATAAGGCTGAAGAAATATTTCTAACGAACCATCTTTATAGGTACAATCTATAAAGCTGTCCTTTGTAGTAATGTCTTACAGACCACTAGTAAGTAGGTATGCTCTCAATTGGATTAGGGTAGAAAAGTCTGTTTTTCCTTGTTTGTACTTTCCTTTCATTGGCACCCAAAATATATCATTGTGCATTTTATTTATTTTGTGTGCCTGTAGTGTACCTGCGTATACCACAGTACGTGTGTGTGGTGAAGGTCAGAGGATAACAAGTGGCAATCAGTTCTTCCATTGTGTGGGTCCTGGAGACTATACTCAGGTCATCAGGCTTTGTGGCAGGTGCCTTTACCACCAGAGCCATCTTGTTGACTACCCCTACCCTCTTTAAAAGACATCATTTTTAATAGAAGTTAGTTTCTCTTTCACTACTGATTGTATTAAATAATTTAGGAAAACAAGACCATGGTACTTAATTTCCAAAGAGTATGTGTCTGGGAACTCAGAACCTATTTAGTAAATACATCACCGTTATTTTCTAAGATGTTCTGAAGGGTGGAATGAGTCCAAGCAGAACCAACAGCCTGAGCTTCTTTTGCCAAAGGCAAAGGCCACTGCAGCACCTGAGATCTAAACTGCTTGCATTCAGTCTCAGAACTCCCCTGCCCATTCCATACCTGATACACGTGTGCAATCAGTTGCTCTCGACTCCCACAGTCTATCTGGCAGAGGGGACACTGGCAGAGTTCAAGCAAGGGGTCAGAATTTAGGTTTTCTGTGACCTGCAAATCCATCAAACAGGCAAGTCATTTAAACGCCTCACTAGTCTCTTCCTTGCCCCACCTCTTTCAATGGTCCTACACAGGTGTTAGTTTTAGGTTCCCATATGGACTGAGGATCAAGTACTGTTTGAAAGGAATTAAATTTTCTAGAATCTTCAAGGCTTTCTACCCTGAAGACACTGGACCGTGCAGGGAAAGGGTTAGCTTCCCTTTTGCATATTCCTTGCACAAATACTCAGGAAACAATTTAGTTGGAAGCAGGTTCCACAGCACAGTCTGACTGACTTAAACATGAAAGCTCACTTCAGAGTGCCTCCTAGAGCAGTGCTCACTTGGAAAGCAGTGAGAGCTTTTAGGGTGGAAGGTGTGGATGGAAGAGGGAACTGTTGTGACGAGGACTGCGGGCCACTTGCCTCATGCTCTACTACTTCATTCCCACCACCAACAGGCTGCTCTGCATTTTCTAATTCTTTCTCCACTTTGACTACCCCACCATCTTCCTCTGATGTGTGGGAAGATACTTCATCTTGTGTGGTCTCCTCTTCGTCACCTTCACTGTCACCTGGAACACACAAACTGGTCACTTGTTCTGAGTTTTACAGAAATATATCCTGAGCTGTTGTTCACTCCAGGATTTGCAGCTACAATGAAAAAAACATCTTCAGACTTGAGGTTGTACAGTTTGCATCAGCGCTCAGTGGGCACAAACCGTGTGACTAGAGATCAGCTATTACTGCAGTTTATTATGCCACACACACTAAAGTGGAAGTGTGAGGCAAACTGCACTAGAAATGGTAACTTGCCATTAAGTAATTGTTGTTTATGAAATAGGACTATGTAGTCCAGGCTGGCTTCAGTCTCACTGTATATTCAAGGATGATCTTGAAGTTCTGATCCTCTTGCCTCTTATCTCTCAAGTGCTGTGATTATAGGCATGAACCACCATGCCTAGCAAAGTATCTTACACTTGACACCATACTTCCCTAAGCACATCACACCAAACTCATTCCCGCAACACACAATCTGACAGAGCAACATCTCTTCCTAATTTTATTACTTTCTTACTTACTTGTCTCTACCGTCACCTGCACACTCTCTATGCTGTCGCAGACAATTCTACCCGAGACCACTATCTCTTCTTCCACAACAAACAATACACACTTCCAGAAATAACAAAATTTTATTTCCTCTTATCAATAAGAATGTAAGAATAAATTTGTTTAAACTTATGCAATTTATAGGAAAATAGCTATACACTTCAGTGGAAAAAATGGGATTAGCATAGTAACTGACCTTGGGCAGTTTATAAGGGCGGAAAATGTTCAAGTTTATTGTTTTTGTTCTTTTTATTTTGAGATGATTTTACTGTGCAACAAAGGCTGCCTTGAAGTGCACGATCCTCTTGCCCCAGCTTCCCAAGTGCCTACTCTGCCCTGCCTCCACAAGACAGGGTTTTTCTGTATAGTCCAGGCTGTCCTGAAACTCTATTCAGAAATCTGCCTGTTTCTTCCTGTATGCTAGGATCCAAGGCATGTACCACCTGCTGATCTGTCCACTCTGTTCTCATCTACTAGTAATGCACATCTTAAACTAAATAAAGCCACTTTTCAGTCGGTTCTTTGGCGTATCTAAAGGATAACTAGATGTGAAAGAAGTGGGGGGAGTGTTATTCTTCACTTTAGACATGAGTAACTGTTTTGTTTTAATCTGGGAGGGAAGGATGTGGTTGTGGGGTAATCTACCTGTGGCTAATGAAGCTGCAAGGTATGTGTGAGCTGATTTTGTCTGTCATCTGTAAAATAGAGGGGAAAAAAAAGATTGAGAGGGAACAAAAACCCACAATCACAAATGAGGTTCAGTGTGGGTACTTTTAAAGATCACAGAGGAAGCCACACCTAGGGAAGCTGTCAGTTGGCTGGGGATAGCCCTCTCATTCCTGCTTGGATTCTGGACTTCCTATGAATAGAGTACGCTCTGCACTTACAGTCAGGCCCACATTTCCCCGCTAACAGTGCTACTCAGCTCCCTGCGGTTTTGCATAATTTCTAAATCGACAATACAAGATTTTTCTTTTTTTTGAGACAGGGTTTTTCTGTCCCTTTGGGGCCTATCCTGAAACTAGCTCTTATAGACCAGGCTGGCCTAGAACTCAAGAGATCCGATGCTGGGATTAAAGGCGCGCACCACCACCACCCGGCTGATAATTCAGTTCTAGACAGAACTGGGTTAAATTTCCTTTACTGGCATATTCCTACCACATCACCTGCTGGTAACTAAGTATATGTGTCTATATTAGATGTGCTTGTCATAAGTATGGTATGTTTTCCTCAAAGCTTTATTTCACTTGAGTCCATCTCAGCTATGAAGCACTGGCACAGAGTAAATCATACCATATTTTCTCACCAGCATCCAGTGTGGAGCACTTGTAGGCTTAGTCTAAAGCACTGCACTGCTGATAAATACACTTTTGTACCTTGTCTATTATCGGAATATCTATGTCAGGACCTTTTTTTTTTAAGTATGCTGTCTAGAATGGTATAATTTTTGTTTTTGTCTCTAGAGACAGGGTTTCTCTGTAGCTTTGGAGCCTGTCCTGGAACTTGCTCTGTAGACCAGGCCTGCCTCTGCCTTCCGAGTGCTGGGACTATAGCCTATGGCATGCCTGCAGATGTCTATGCTTACCTGTTCAAGAAACTGCTGTGTCCCATAGGGTTTCTAGAAATTCTAGAGTTCATTTCTTTTCTTTCTTTTTTGTTTTTAAATTTGTTTGTTTGTTTGTTTGTTTGAGACAGGGTTTCTTTGTGCAGCCCTGACTGTCCTGGAACATGCTCCATAGACCAGGCTGGCCTCCAACTCAGAGATTCACCTGCCTCTGCCCCCAGAGTTAATCTGGAATTAAAAGCATGTGCCATCACCACCTGGCTGTAGAGTTCATTTCTTTGTACCTACCTGATTAGCTGTTATTTGTGTGTGGGGGTTGTGTCTATGTGGTTACTGTTGTTTCATTATTAGTTTGGTTAAAACTGTAGAACTCTCTATACAGAGTTCAGAACAAACACACACTCTCTGTTTCTCTCTCTCTCTCTCTCTTGCTCCATCTCTTTCTTTTCCCCAAGTTTACAACTAGTTTAAAAAAATAATCAGGGTTTCACCCTAAACTGATATTAATAACTAACCAGTATCAGGTGCATAACATCAGGAGAGTATAGACATCTTTCTGGGAAATAACACTGTTCAAGTGGTCATGGGACAGATAACGCATGAGCCTTAACTTGTAAGACTACATTTTTCTTCCTTCCTTCCTTCCTTCCTTTCTTTCTTTCCTTCCTTCCTTCCTTTCTTTTTTTTTTTTTTTTTTTTTTTCCAAAACAGGGTTTCTCTGTAGCTTTGGGGCCTTGTCCTGGAACTCGCTCTATAGACCAGGTGGGCCTCAAACTCAGAGAGATCTGCCTGCCTCTGCCTCCCAAGTGCTGGGATTAAAGGTTCTCACCATCACTATCCAGCAATACTAAATGTTTTTTTACCTAATAACACAGAGATCTAGTAAAGGGTTTGGTGTGGGAATACCTGGACTTCAGCATTTTTATATGCTACATCATCTCATCACTAAGCAAATCTGCACAACATTAAAACTAGGACCTCAAGCAAAACTTCAATGACACTCTTATAATTTATTAATAATTAGACCTAATGCAAAGGGATTTTCCTTTATTTGACCTGGCCCATGAACTGCCTGAACACTAACCATTTCTATATTAGAATATTCTATTTCACAACCACCACACACCTATCTATATATGGCACTGTGCCAATTACTAGAGTACATGAGTTATAAAAAACAACATGCTAACCTGCCCCATGTCTCTCTCTGAATGAACATATTCTGACACCGGGGATCCACACATCTTCTTAGAGCTTCCTCCCAACCCCCACGCACAATCCCCAGAGCACACACTCTTAGTTCTTCTCCCATTGCCCTGAGTCATTACCAGAAGGTGCAGAACTCACTGCTACTGGAGTCCTGATCTCTTAGTTGTTGGATAGCTTGTCGCTGACTGCCAAGGTCTCCAGGAAAATCAGTTTTCATCATCGCTTGTCGGGCTTGTTCTTCTAGCCCAGCAAATACTTGATCCCCTGGTGGTCACAAGGAATAACAGTCAGGCCACCAGCGGGGCAGTACATGCCTAGACAAACTAGTTGGAAGGTCAGACCATTCAAAGTAGGAGACAGGCAGGTACCCTGTGGTGGGTTCATTCATCTCCAAGTCATGCTGCTATCTCCAACAGTGTGGCTGCTCTTCCTGGGCAGTAAGCTATCTTAAATCATCCTATTCTTGACCCTTGAAAAGGTGATTAATCTGATTAATCACGACTTTCCAAACTTAATTGAAGAATCTCAATTCCTTGAAACCTTCCATCAGAATTGGAGACACAGGTAAGAGATAAAGTGATGGGATGGAGGCAGGACAACAAACTGGGCAAAAACCTCTGTACCTTATAAACTACCATCATCATGGCCCTAATTCATTCTATCTCACACTACACACAAATGCTTCAGGTAATCCTGAATAAACCTCCATCCCATCTTTCTTCATTCCAAGATGTTTTGGGCATTCCTCTTGCCTTTCTCTAATGTCTATCAAAATTAGCCATAATAAACATGACTGGCTGAGTAACCAATGGGATGGGGAGCAAAAGGAGAGCAGGTAACACTCTAACTCACTAAAACTAATCCTTGACTGAAACACACCAACTAACTTACAACAAATACTATGTATCCAAGTCTCCTTGAGTCAATGTGGCCTTTGTTTTTGCATAAAGTATCCAGAAACTCTGGACCATCCCTGATTTTGCATTTACTTTTCATGAGCTCTGCCTGGGATCCGTGTTATTGGAGACTTAACATTCAAGTGCTTTTTAATTTCCAGGAGACTAGGCATAGAGAGAAAGAAAAAGAGAGTTAGGTTTCTCTTATCTCAGTGAAAATGGAAACTACAGGCCCAATTCCCAGTCAGCAAAGGGAATAATCAAAAACTCTGGTGGGATGTTTGAGTATCCCACAGGACCTTTCTTACTGAGAAGGGAAAGGATAATAAACAGGCTAAGTTTTGGGAGACAGTACAATGATGTATGGGTTGTTCCTTGGTCAGTGTAAAAATTGAAGAGGGGGTCAGCTCCATGATTTAGTTGGTCACTCATTCAGCAAAAATCCATAAACACTACTGTATGTTAAGCACTATAAACACTAATTATAGTTACTATGTGACACTTGCTATTCTAGGCTTTATAAGTACTATATAATCCTCACCTTAATTTTCTCTTTTTTAAATGTAATTTTTTATTATTTGTGTTGGAGGGGAGGTATAGATGTACCATGATGAATATACAGAGGACAGAAGACAAATTCATGGGTTCTGGGGAGTGAACTCAAGTGATGCTTGCACAAGCACTTTTACCCACGGAGCATCTTGCTGGTCCTCTCACCTTGGTTCTTTGTATGGTAGGTATTCCTACTTCCCTACCTATTATTATATATCTTAATAAAATATATTACCTATATGTTATTAAGAGGATGAGCAAGGGTGATGAAGGGATGGCTCAGTAGTAAAGGGTGTGTATTGCTCTTACAGAGTTTGGTTCCCAGTCCCCATACCAGAGGCTCTCAGCTGCCTATAACTCCTGCTCCAGGGAATACAACACCTCTGACCTCCACAAGTACCTGCACTTATATGTACATAAACACACAAACACATAATTAAACATAAATCTTTTTTTAAAAAACAGAAGAAAACTAAAGTCTATGGTAAATCCAAGTATTGAGGTCTGTACAACTGTATGTCCTTCCTGGGCCCTCATTTTTCATCTTTAGTGTCCATTTTTCCTGTGATGGTGGCTAAGCCTAGGGCTTTCTATATGCTAAAAACATACTTTAGCTACAGTGAAATCCAGACTTCCCATGTGCTGCCAATGGAGGTATAAATTCAATGTCATAGGGGTTTCACAGTAGGTCTGCTAACAACAAATACTTGTCTCTGTGTGACAAGACTGGCTCCAATCAAAGTATTGGTGTTATCTTCATTATCAGGCAACAACAATTTAAATATCAAAATGCTTTCAAGGCCACGGTATGACAAAAGGAAATATCCAGTTCTGATACTGTTGTCATGAGTCATCATGCCTGGGTTAGAGAAGCTGACATTATGGCAATTATGACTCATCCTGTGGGTAAGGATGGAGGTGGGGAGTGTGTATTCCTAGGTACACAGATCTCAAGAAAAGGAAAAATGAGCGGCTTTAAGACTACGTTCACATGTTTTTGTCTTTCGTTTTTGTGACAGGTTCTATGTAGCTCTGGCTGGCCTGGAATTCATCATGTATCCCAGAATTCACAAGTAGGTATATGCGTCTGCCTCACGAGTGTAGGAATTAAAGGTGTGCACCACCACGCCCAGTCAGTCTTCACAATTTCTAAGATAACACATGGCTATAAATTACCGCTAAAGAAGGCAAAAAATAAACTGTACAGAGTGCTTTTCCTTCCTTCTCTGCAAAAGTAAAGTATTTCATTTCTCCATATTGATTCCATTGAAACAAAACAAAAACAACTGTGGCCAGCAGTTACTGAATTCCTCTAGGTTGCTTCATGGTTTTGGACCTAATCTGGCACTAAGGAATAAATTATATACTGGCACATACTGTAAATGTCAGTCACTATCAGTAATTCTCATCAATAACACTTTAGGTTTGTAAGAAAACTTAGTTATATTTATAACATGCTAGAAATGAACAATAACAAATTTCTGTCACATAGTACCAGTAGAAAGACATCTAGCCGGATGGCGCAATGTAAAAGGAGGCTGGAGAGATGGCTCAGTGGTCAAGAGCACTGGCTGCTCTTCCAGAGGACCCAGGTCAATTCCCAGCACCCACATGATAGCTCACAACCACCTGGAACTCTGGTTCCAAGAGATCTAATGCCCACTTCTGGCATGGGTACTAAGCATGCAAGGCAAAACACCCATATACATAAATTAAGTTTTAAAAGATATCTAAAAGTAGATGAATCTTTCAAAGTGAGTAGTAATTCAGTTTAATCTTTATCAACATGAACTCAGAATTTAGTTTTGTCTATTAAGTTTAAATATTCAGACCTTTACAGAATGGAATCTCTTCAATATGACTTCCTTAGGGTTCTTGCTGGCAGTCTCAGCTAGGGAACTTGGGATACGCTATTTTTTTTTTTTTTCAGTACTATAGAAACACAACCTACTCTTTTACTCCATTCCTGACTATGGAAAAACCTAAAATAAATATTATTCTTTAAGGCTGTTCCTATTTTAAATAGCACCATAAAACAGTACGTAAGTATTTTTAAATCTTAAAGGAGATCTTATCAAACTTCCTAAGAAGAGTCAGTAATTTTTCCAGAAGTCACCTTTACCTAATCTCCAAATCCAACTATCCAGAGATATCCCTTGGTGAGAAGACAGTGAAAGCTGCTAAGAAAATGTGTTACACTGGGGCTACTGAGATGGCTCAGTGGGTAAAGGCACTTCCCACCATGCTGGAGTCCAATTCCTGGAACCTACATGATTGAGGGAGAGAATCCATAGTTAGCTGTCCTCTGATCTTATTTATTTTTTATTATTATTATTATTATTATTTTTAGGGGGTTTTCTGTAGCTTTGGAGCCTGTCCTAGAACTAGCTCTTGTAGACCAGGCTGGCCTTGAACTCACAGAGATCCACCTGCCTCTGCCTCCTGAGTGCTGGGATTAAAGGCCTGCGCCACCACCATTCAACTTGAATTGCTTATTTTTATAATGTAGAATTATTACTTCTAATCTTGAGACTTATAGAATAGGTTCAAACTCTCTAGTTTCCAGATATTAATGCAGGGTCACCTTCTTATTAAATGTGGATATTTAGCTGCCTATTAATAGCCAGGTTCCACAGTAAAATCCAGGTACTCCTCTCTCTGTTTTCTCTTTTTAAATTTGGTATGAAATGTAAAGAGTTTTTATTTCACTTTTGCCTTGGGATTCAGACTGCTGAAGAACAAGGCTGTGAAAGCTAGTTTGGAAAAAGAAGAAAAAGATCAAGGTAAAGTCTTGGACAAAGATTTGCTTTTTTTCCCCTCTGGTCCTTAGTACAATTTAGTAAATGCAATTCTGGGCTGCCTGAAATTACAGAGTTGAACGTTCGTTCTCTTAAGTGAGCAGATGTCTGTTCAGAAAAAGCAGCAGTACTGGGAGAGGGGTGCTTTGGACTCCTTTCCAGCTGGCAATGTGTAACCCAGGTGCTGTCTATGCTGGGAACAGCAATTACATCTCAGGAATGCTAGCAGCATGAACTGAGACAAAGCTCCCTGGCTTCTCAGAAAAGACAAGACTTTGACGCTTTTTCAGTGCTGAAAAGCTTTCAGCTGCAGCTTCCAGTCTCTCAGTACCTTGCCACCTGAAAACAGTGTCTTAAGGAAAGGTTTTTCTTGGTGGTTTCCTTGATTCCCGCACATGAAATCTGAGTATACAAAGGGCTGTATTTCCAAATTCTCCAAACAGTTGAGAAACTTATACTCAGAAAGGGGAGAAATGGAAAAGTGGGTGAGGCAGAAGGTCTGAAACACACGGTTTCAATCCAGCAGCAGTTTCTCTACAATGAATAATTCTGGATTTTTAATCCTAAAATTTTGCACTGAGTCTGCTAAGCAGATGGTAATGGGCTGTCCGGATGATTTGAATATGAAAACAAAGTGTGTGCTGAAGTGTCCTGCCACTAGCTTCTGAAGTACATCCAAGAAACAGTACCTGACTGCTACCTGCAAGTTTCTCCTCCCCCTGCCCCGCCCCAAAGACAGGATTTCTCTGTATAACCGCTGTAGCTGTCCTGGACCTTGCTCTGTAGACCGAGCTGGCCTCCAATTTACAGAGATCTGTCTACCCTTGCCTCCCAAGTGCTGGGATTAAAGTGTGCCCCACCACGGCTGCCTCTCTTGCTTTTTCTTTTCTCTTCTCTTCCTTCTTTCTTTCCTTCCTTCCTTTTTCTTTCCCCCTCCTCTCCCTCTCTCCTTCCTTCCTTTCTTCCTTCTTTTTTTAGAAGACAGTGTTTCAGAGGCTGGAGAAATGGCTCAGTGGTTAAGAGTACTGGCTACTCTTCCAGAGACACCCACATGACAGCTCACAAGTGTTTGTAACTCCAGTTCCAGGGGATCTGATGCCCTCTTCTGGCCTCTGTGGACATCAGACATACATGTGGTACATAGACATAGACAAAACACCCATACACATAAATAAAAATTTAAAAGTAAAATGAAAAACAGGGTCTCAAGCATTCCAGACCAGCCTCAAACTTTCTTGAAGCCAACAATGACTCTCAAGTCTAAATCCTACTACCTTGGGGCTGGAGAGATGGCTCAGCGGTTAAGAGCATTGCCTGCTCTTCCAAAGGTCCTGAGTTCAATTCCCAGCAACCACATGGTGGCTCACAACCATCTGAAATGAGGTCTGGTGCCCTCTTCTGGCCTTCAGGCATACACACAGAAAGAATATTGTATACATAATAAATAAATAAATAAATAAATAAATAAATATTTAAAAAAAAAAATAAATCCTACTACCTTCACCTTTCCCAGTATTAAGATTACAGACATGGCCACTGCGCTGTACCTCATATCCAGGGTTTTATGCACGGTAGGCAAGCACTCTATCAACTGAGCTACAACCCCAGTTGTACAGTGGGATTTAAATATTTTTTCTTTTTTTTTTTGGTATTGGGGATAGAACCTAGAGCATTCATAAGCAAGCACTTTACCCTCAAGCTGTATGCCAGCATCTAGAAGTCTTAATATATCCATTGAGTCATGCTTTTAGCTTCAGGCCACACAGTCATTCCAGAAGGCTGAAATAATGAAGCTCAGTTCTCTGCTATAATGCAAACCTAGACTTTGAATCCATCATACTTACTATAAATACACAAACAGCATTAAGTTTAAGATGTCTGATTCATTCCATGTCAGGTGAGAAGAGATTCAAGTGGTCAAAAACTAGAATTACCTCCTTTTGCCTGCCATTGTCATGAGCAACGAGAAGGTATTGTTTTGAAAAGGACAGGGTCAGCTTCAGTCCCCAGATCATAAATAAATAAAAGGTGTTCAGAAACCAGCAAATCTTAGTGTTCTGTTTCCTTTGGTCAAACTGAACTCATCACTTGAAAAGACTGTCTCTGCCCAAAACTATCACTGAAAACAGTGCCTCTCCAGGGCTCACTGTTTAGGTACATCTGAGTATTTGTGTACATAGTCCCACAGTAAAGGGCCTCTTAAAGGACCACTACTCAGAGTCTGAGAAGCCCCATCCACTCTACACAGTATAACATTTGCAACTATGGATGAACAGGTATTTTCCCATCCTCCATGATCTGTTTGTCCATGTGGTTTCCAACTCCAGTACCCGCCCCAGTTTGTTCTGGCTCTGGCTGTCTTATGGTGTCAGATGCAACTGATAAATATAAGCTATGCAGACATAGGCACAGGCCCTAAGCCTTTGTCACTCCACAAGCAGTCAGTCATGTCTGGGGAACCCTGGGGTGGATGGCTCACACAGGCGATACCCTTTGCTCTCTACATTCGGGCATGCTACATCTGTTTCAGCATCGACATCTCAGTCTTCCAGAGTTGCTCACCTTTATATTAAGCAGCCTTGCAAATCTACCTATCCTGAATAAAACTGGAAGCTCTCACCTGGTTCTAGCTTATTCAACATTTCCAGGACTTAAACAATGATTGTACATGAAGGTTTGCTACCCAATGTCATTAATGTAAGATGTCAAAGCTATCATAACTTCTTTGGTCACACTGTTTTCAATGAAATTTAAGTCACCTTAATTTCTTACATAATCAATCCTTTCCAATGTTTTTGTTTACTTCTTGCTTTAAAAGGAAAGTCTTACAGGGTGGGACTGTAGCTGGGTGGTAGGAATACCTGCTGACTATGTGTAAGGCCCTTCACAGAAAGGTCATGTATACTGCCGGATTTTCTTCATCTGTTCTGTACTGTACTTTATTCAATTAGTCCTCCATAACAGACACTTGTATATTTTATGAAGGGTCAGTTAAGAATGCTTCTCTACCCAGATTATAAGAAAATAGCTAATTATCCCAAATCTAATAGTAACTAATTATTTTGTTTGGGGTGTATGTGTGTGTGAATGTGCATATGCATGTATGTAAGCACATGTATGTAGAGGTCAGAGGTCAATGTCTCCTCTATTCAATCTATCTTATATTTCTGGACAGGGTATTTCATTGAACCTAAAGCTTGTTGTGCCAGCTAGACTGTCATCAAGTCCTAAATCCTCCTGTATCTACCTTGTCCCCCAGCATTGGGGTTACAAATTCATACCACTACACCTAGTTTTTTTTAAAATGTAGAATGTGTGTGTGTGTCTGCAAGCATATACTTGAGCGTGTATGCAGACTAAAGAACAACTTGAGGAGTTCTCTCCTTCCACCATGCTGGTCCCAGGGATCATCAGCCTTCAAAGCAGGAGCCTTTTACCCATTGACCCATGTCACTGGCCCTTAAATTTTGGTTTTTTATTACTTTTATATTTACATGGATTCTGGGGATCTTAACTCAGGTCCTCATGCTTATGCAAAAAGCACTTTGCCCACTGAGCCATCTCCTGGCCCTGGTTTTTTGTTAACTGTTTCTCACTATGAAGCAGGGAAATCCCTGACACATACATGCCTGGCCTTAGCAGCTTTCCTTAGCTGAGGAGGGAGAGTTTACAACCCCTCTGTTATATCCTTGACTCTAAAGCCAGAACCAAGTGGCCAAAGCTGCCAAGTTCTGCTGCTTGATGGGGTTGAAACTCGGTCCCCTGTCCAATTACATTTGCATCAGCTTTCTATTGTTGATGGTTTTCTTCATTGCTGAAGATTTTCTTTAGTCTTTTTCATAAGGTGGAAATTTAGCTGGATGAGGTCTTACCGAGGTCACATAAACTTTAGGAGAAATAAAACTTCTGCTTACAACAAGTCTCTGTGTTCCCTCAAAGATCACATGTACTTCCTTTCTTTTTGTCCAAATCCACCTTTCATCCTCTAAGGCCATGTTTAAGTTCATGCTCTAGGCCTCTTCCATCAAGCATTCCATTGCTACTGCAGTCAGCAAAATTATTATTTTATTTTATTTTAGTTGGTTTTTTAAGACAGGGTTCCTCTGTTTAACAGCCCTGGCTGCCCTGGAACTCCCTCTCTAGACCAGGCTGATCTCAAACTCAGAGATCTGCCTACCTCTGCTTCCCAAATGCTGAGATTAAAGGCCTGTGCCACCACTGCCCGGTTTGTCTTAACTACTTTTAACTTCTGTGGTATACATAGTCTATAGTACCCCTCTGAGACATACAGCGTATACTCGCTTGTATTTGTATGTTTCTTCTGTGTTTATGTGTAGCTTCATTACAGTTTAATTATGTTATATTGTTTTATAGCCCTGAAACCTAGCATAATATTTTCACAAAGTTTCCTGCAAATGTTAATATAGTATTAAGAACGAATAATGCATCTACCCCTTAGACAACTTAGACATGACTAGAGTAACGTCACGTTTCAAATCCATGTATGTAAGCCTTTAACCCTTTCTTTTCCTCCACAAATGAGTGCGAGCCTCACCCTAAATTTAGGTTTCTCTTTCATTCTGACCCTTATCTTCCCAGGTTCCAGAGGACAAAGCCCAGTACTCACAGTGAACTTTATTTGGATTTGTCTGTTTCCTACGGGACATGTTTCCCTGATATAAAAGCTCTGGTCTTTCCCAGTTTCACCACTGGATATGTCACTACCTCCTTGTGAGGTGCTAACCTGCAAAAATAAAAATAAATAAAAAACAATATTGTTAGCCTGTTATTCTCCCCAGAAATTACAAAATTAGAAATTTTCAAGACCTTAAAAAATACCTAGAGCATATAAAACTCACCAGATATAAATAACTGAGCTAATAAAATGAAAAAAAAAATAAGCTGGGTGGTGGCAGCACACACCTTTAATCCCAGCACTTGGGAAGCAGAGACAGGTGGATCTCTGTGAGTTTGAGATCAGCCTAGTCTACAGAGTGAGTTACAGGACAGGCTCCAAAGCTACAGAGAAACCCTATCTCAAAAATAAAAAATAAATAATAAATAAATAAATAAAATAAATAAGGAAATACATTTCTAAGTATCAAGGTCCCAAGAAGCCTAAGGGGTGACTATTTTAGAGGACTTAAAAGAGATTTCTCTAAAACTATCTTTGGAACTTAGACTACTGAGTGGTCACAGTCAAGACTGCAGGACAGAAAAGGATGCAATTCAGGCAATCGAGGTTAGAAGTACTGTGGGTTAGAGGGATCACTCCCACAGATGTGAGGAAAGCAAAAGCATAACAAAGACCTGTAGCAGCTGCCCTGTCACGTGCAACCAGAAGTCAAGGCCTGAAACTGTACCTCTAGATGGTTTTCTAAGAAACAGTGTTTAGAAGTAGCAAAGGTATCACTTATCTGCAATACAAGCACACTACCAGACACCTAGCATGATGGCACCAGAGCAAGTCAAACTCCCACCACTCAAGACAGGCTCTCACCAGAAGAGAGATGATATCCACACTGTGGAGTACTAGTTCAGTCTCCCAGTGTGGACCAACTGGCCCTGCTCGTATGTTCTGGAGAGGTGGTCAAAGATCCTAACTTTATAGCCTCTTCTCAAGTCTGCTGTGTAACAAGGACACCAGGAAGCAGTAAGAGAAACACTGCTGAGAAGAGCAGCAGAGAAGGCACCTGCCCCTGACAAAGGAGCAGTCTGAAGTTCCCCTAAAGACTGGTTCAGCTGTAAGCACGGGAAGAGGCTCTGATGTGGATTAGTGCAGAAGCTGTAGCCTTGTCTTTGAAAGACAGAGAGGGTTGTGGATGTCATACAGGTAGAGCACTTGTCTAGCATGTGTCAGGCCCTGGGTTCCATTCCCAGCACCATAAAACAAGACAGACAAACGGACACCAGAGTGAACAAATGTAAACTGAAAAGAGTCTTTTCTACCAAAGTTAGGGGTGTGCATTTAGTCTTTCCCCAACTCCTTTCAGTCCCTGCCCTCTTAAATTGTACTCACATATAGAAATTATGTAGTTTATTACTTTAAGAGAAACTACTAGTTTACTTTGCACTCTAGTTAATGAAGACTCACCTGCTGATGCCAACTAACTCTTCTATGGAACTAGAGAGGCCCTCAAACCTGTAATCAGATCCTGCCTCCCCTTACCAAAAGAAGAAAGAAACCGCAAATGGCAAAGACAGGCCTCCACAGGAAGTGGCAAAGGAAGCAGCTTTCAGGCAGTCTTCTATCATATCTGCATACCAAACACAGTTCTTTTCAGACCTTCAATTAAAAAAAGGAAAATAACTCCTAATATGTACAATAGAAAAACCAATTTTAGACAGCAGCATACAGATATCTAATACAAAAGATATATATTATCTGTGTTTTTTTTTCCTTTTTTTTCCCTTGGAGATATAAGTCTCACGCATCCTTAACTGGTCTTAAACTGGGTTGGGTGAGTAGCCAAGAATGACCTTGAACTTCTGAAATTCCTGTCTCAAGAAGACAGGCAGCCTTCTTTCCCAGTTTGAAGTGGTGCTGGGGACTGGAGCTGAATATGACTTTTGCATACTGGGCAAGCACTCTACCAACTAAGCTATACACCAGTTGTAGGGGGTGGTCACTCTTCTCCGGCTTCTTCTCTCCCCTGCCTCTACTCTTTTTGGAGACTTGGCCTTGACTTCAAACCCCTGGACTCAAGGGACCCTGCAGCCTCAGCCTTCTGACTAGTGGATTAGAGGTGCGCATCACTACACGTGGTTTATTCTTTTTAGACATTTTAACACAAGCTGTGAATGAATTATCACACTTCAGATCTTTTTCTCCATGTCCATGGAATCCCAAAGTGGAGAGCTGAATGAAATGCAGACTGTCTATCTTCCTACACTTTCTATTGTATAATGAAAAACAAATGAAATCTCATCTACATTTACCCCCATAAAGATCAGGAACTGAAGCTCTGAGAGAGAGGTAATGAAATCTATTTGAAAGAATGCCAAGTAGCTTGAGCCAAGTAACTACTTAGATCATCTTAGCAAGACAACAGCTCAATACTAAAGCTCCACGGCAAAGAGATGAAATCTGCAGCCAGGAAGGCAGCTGCATCGCATCCACTACGTCTTTAGGTCCTCCTAGCGGCCCACTGGGGAACTGACCAGATGGCACCTCATGGGACTTCACACCTGAAGAATCAAAGAAAAAATAAACACACACCTTCCCTTCCCACAAAAGAAAGCCAAGCCACAATAATTAAAACAGCCACCAGAAAAAAAAAGTCCGGGGGGAACCCTTAAAAATAAGTAAGAAACTGACAAATGGCCCTGGAACATCACAATAGCTGAGGTTAGTTTTATAGGTGGCAACCCTATTAAAACACAACAAAACAAAAAAACCCATAGGTACATTGTCTAAAGGTCACTTGGTCCCTTTTAACTTTCGCTGCCCAAATGTGAAATTTAAGCTGGGAAGGTAACTGGAGAGCTAGCTGCCTGAACATATTCAGCTGAAAGGAAACTGGAACGGGAAGAACGGTAAACTAAGGATTAGACCTACAAGGGCTGCTACTTTTAACGGGAGCAGTTCTGTCATCTATAGAGCCAGTCAAGACCTTGGGAGGGCGCATCACCCACTTTCATCCCTGTCTCTGCTCTATCACAGGTGTTAGGGTGTGTGTGTGTGTATATATATATATGGCCAGTCTTTGTGTGTGTGTGTGTGTGTGTGTGTGTAAGGCCAGCCTTAAGAGGGTGCATTCCCACCTCCAGCTCTGGTGCGGTCCCACGGAGCAAAGTAAACTCGCCTGAATCCTACTGATGTGAATCTGCCAAAAAGGAGAGAAGAAGGGTGGTCATATAGCTGTTTCACTGTCCCTCTGTGTGCCATCAGCTGAGATGGTCCCTCTGCTTTCTCGAATCGGAGCACAGGTAAATCCCAGGTATTAAATTGCAACCAAAGGTCTTCCGAGGCGGTCTCAGACCAACCCTCAGACCACTTAGCCTGGTCCGAAATCTAAATTTAGTAGTAGCTCCCCGCCCGTCCGCGCCAGGCCGGCCTGTGCCCCCCGCCCCGTCCGCTCTCCCACGCCCATCCTCCCCTCCCCCAGCTCCACCCCAGCCTGTCAGACGCCAGCCCGCGAGGCCCTCACCCAGCCGCCACCAACACCGAGCCCACCCCTCCCCAGGCACGGGCAGACAAAAGGCGGACGGCGGCGCGGGGCGGCAGAAGCTACACTGGCTGCTGGTTCCCTGCGCTGGGGCGCTTTACCCTCTGCCTCGGCGCTCCGCGTCCCTGGGCCCCGCCTCCGGACAGACAGACCGCGGGACAATGGGCCCCAGCCGCAGCTCGGGCTGGCGGGGCCGGGGCTCTCCGGGACCGGACCCCAGCGGGCAGAGGGTGGCGGCGGGCTGAGCCCGCAGCGGGGAGGCGAGGGGCGTCGCGGTGGACGGACAAAGCCAACGGCAGACAGACGGACAGAGGGGGAAAAAGATGGCGACGCGGGCAGCGGGAGCGCGCTGCTCGCGCTCTCGCAGCGAGTGGGGCGCGTGCCGGAACCTCACCTCTCTCCTCCCGCCGCCGCCCCGACCCCTCCCGGCTCCCGAGGCGCGCGCCTGGCGTTATGGGCGGGGCCTCAGGGAAAGGGTCCGGGAAGGCGGGACTTAGGGAGCATCCAATCGCTGGCGTTCCGGAGGGGCCCCGCCCTCGCCCTGGTACTGGAGACCCTGGCTGAGCACCTCCGGGAGCTTTCGGTAATGCTCTCAACCCCTCCGCGCCCCCTTGGGCGGGTAAACTCCACTCGGCTGTCGACTCCCCTGGTTTCCTGCACCAACATCGAGTTCAGCCACAAAACCCACATCCCCCGACCACAGCTCCACCGCAGGCTTCCCCCTCTCCGTAGCCGAACCTGAGCCACACCGCCCCATAGTCACAAGCCCTCTTCACTCCCACTTGCTCTGGGACTTCTTCAACCCCCAAGGTATTTAAAGTGACGAAAGAGGGGGCCACAGATTCTGTGGGAGGGACTACCTTCAGTTGTCAGAACCTTAAGCTCAGCTCGAAAAGTAGATTTATTTGGGGTGTTTACTTTTCCAACATGATGGTTCTATGCACAGGTCCTGGGTACTTGTGATCCTTGACATCAAAACGGTATTCGGAAAGTGTGCTTGGACTCTCTTCTTTCTGACGCGACTCCTGTGATTGCCTGCCTCACTCCTCCGTTGCCCTCCCTCCATCCCTCTCATTCTCGGGTGAAAAACCAGAGCCTACCACTGAAGTCTCTCCTACTTGGAGAAGTAGAGAGTGCCACAGAAAGAGAAGCCCTGAGTTTAGAAGGCCCAACTTTCAGTACCAGCTCTGTCACTGATTAGTCTGTTAACTGAGCAAGTCTCTGTTGTGAGCCTCTGCTTCCAACCGTAATAGATAATGGAATTCTGGGCCTCTCTTCCCAAGTGGTGCTGGTTACATAAAACGATCTCTGAAAGCCCTGTGGGAGTTTTCTTCTGATTTCCGGCTTCACAAGGGCAGAACTAGTGAGGGTTCTGAATCTTGCTGATAAAATGACAAGTCGAAGTATTTGCATAAAGCATTCTTGCAGATTCTTCTTCCCTGTAATCTCCAACGAGATGGCATTGCCTGTTGCACGAATTCTAGTTGGTCTTAATCAAAACCAAGTTCACGTTGAAAGATCAGAGAAACAAAGCAGCCAGCCCCGGGTCTTACCTCTACCTTAGATTGAAAATTGGCCATGAATCCTCAAACTGAAGACTGAGCCTGAGACCTGTCTTTTCCCGTTTTATATTCCTTTCTAGTGCTGGGATTAAAGGCCTGCCTGGCCTCTATGGCAGACTAATGTGGCTGCTGGGATTAAAGGCACGTTGTGCCACCACTGCCTGGCCTGTATGGCTGACTAGTGTGGCTGCTTTGCCCTCTGATCTTCAGGAAAGCTTTATTAAAACACAAATAATGTATCACTATAATTGCCCACATCTTATGTAGAATGTGCTAGAATAGTTGAATTGAAGAATCTTTGTCCTGGACAATGTTGTAGGTAAACAGCTACATTCATTCATTATTTATTTATTGTGACTAGGATGTCTAAATAGGAATTACTGTTCATTATCAGTCAAGAAAACATTTCAAATCCAAGAATTTGATATGTACACATAACCAGGAAATGAAATAGTCTCACCAAAGCAGTAAGCTTTAGTAAGAATACAAGCTGAAATGACATTCACTTTAAAACTCAGTAATTCCTGATGGCCTATACTTCGAGATGCAGCAAGGCCTTCTTATATCACTGAAATTGACCCGGCCGCCGGAGGGTGGTTCGCAGGCCTTTAATCCCAGCACTAGGGAGGTAGAGGCAGGCAGATCTCTGTAAGTTCGAGGCCAGCCTGGTCTACAAACCTAGTTCCAGGACAGATGGGGATGTTTATACCGAGATATCCTTTCTTGAATGCCCTCCCAAGAAAGAAATTGACCTGACTGACAATTTCAACAAGAAAATTACTAACTGGTAAAGCCTCCAATGAAATGTCTTGAATTTGTTTTAATTTATTGTGTACAGGCCCCAAAGTTACACAGAGAAACCCTGTCTTGAAAAAAACTAAAAGGCCAAGCGGTGGTGGTGCATGCCTTTAATTCCAGCACTCGGGAGGCAGAGGCAGGTGAATCTCTATGAGTTTGAGGCCAGCCTGGTCTATGAGAGCTAGTTCCAGGACAGGCTCCAAGACAACACAGAGAAACGTATCTCAATTATAGTAAGAGTTGAAAAATCTTCCTAATACATTTTTTTTCCTTTTGCTGTTGTTTGATTTCTGTATTGGGTACCAAACCTATGGCTTGCCCAGGCTAAGCACATCCTCAACCACTGGGCTACCTCACCAGTACCGAAATCCATTTTATATTTATTGAACTTCTACAATTATCTCATTAAAGCTTTACATGACAGTAGCAATGATAGGAAACATTTCAGAACCCCAATTAAATTTTTTTTGCATGGATATGTGTGTGTACTGGTGTGTGTGTGTGTGTGTGTGTGTGAGAGAGAGAGAGAGAGAGAGAGAGAGAGAGAGAGAGAGAGAACATTATTTGTGTAGAGGTGTTTGTGTGCAGGTACACCTGTTTATGTGTGTGCATTTAAATGTAGAGGCCAGAGTTTGATGTCACATGCTTCTCTTCACCTTATACAGTCAGGGTCTCTCACTTGAACCCAGAGCTTGGCAGCTTGCTCTGGGGATCCCTGGTCCTGAGCAGTGGGATTACAGGTGGGCTACCACGTGCTCCCAATACTTACATGGGGGCTAGAGATTCAAACTTCAGTCCTCACGCTGTCCGGCAAGCTCCTCATCTACTGGACCATCTCCCCAGACTGTTTGTTTGTTTGTTTTTGAGACAGGGTCTGACTAAGTAGCTTGTAGCTCTGACTGTGCTGATGGAATTCACTGTGTAAATCAGACTGGTCTTGAACTCACAGAGAGATATTCCCCCTCCCCTGCCTCTGCCTCCGGAGTGCTGGGATTAAAGGCTGTGCCACTATGCCTGATTTGCTCAGACATTTAAAAAAGTAAAGTATAATTCATGAGAGCTGGCAAAATGGCTGAGTGGGTAAAAACACTTCCAGACCACAGTCCACCATTCAGGGAAGGCAAGACAGGAACTTGAAGGCTGGCTTCCTTACTGTTCCCACACTATTTCCCAGACCAAGGAATTCACTTCATGGCCCAAGAAGTTCAGCAGGAGATGCTGCTTGCTGGTTGGTAGGCAGGTTTATGCTCAGCTAGCTTTCCAATGCAGTTCAGGAGCTTCTGCCTAGGGAGTGGTGCCACCACCTATTAACAATCAAGACAATCCCCACAGACTTGCCCACAGCTCAATGTCTTCTAAACAATTTGTTAATTGAGATTCTCTTTGCAGATAATTCTAGGTTATGTCAACTTAACAGCTAAAGCTAACCACAGCAAGCAACTTAATACATTCTGCCTCAGATTCCTGGGGCTGGGATTACAAGTGTGCTGCTGTGTCTCACTTGTCTTTTGTTTCTATGTGCATGGGTGTTTGCTTGTGTGTATATATGTGCACCATGTACATGCCTGCTGTCCAGGGCATCGGATCTCCTGGAACTGGAGTAACAGATGGTTGTGTGCCCACCATGTGGGTGCAGAGCCTCTAGAAGAGCAGCCAGTTATAGCAGTATATTATTTGTGTTTTAATAAATAAAGCTTGCCTGAAGATCAGAGTGCAAAGCAGCCGCACTAGTCAGCCATACAGGCTAGGCCTGTGGTGGTACACACCTTTAATTCCAGCCCTTGGGATCCCACGCCTTTAATCCCAGCACTAGGGAGGCGGAGACAGGAGTGATATGGCTGGGTGGAGAGAGGAATATAAAGGGAAGAGACAGGAACTCAATGGAGTCTGGAGTCTGAGGTTTAGGGGAGACAGAGGCAATCTGAAGACAGGATCTCTCGTTTCAGTCTGAAGATTTCATAGAGGTAAGAGCTCTCTAATGGTTGGCTGCTTAGCTTCTCTGATCCTACAGCTCGAACCCCAATATCTGTCTCTGGGTTTTTACTAGCTGTGCTACAGCCAGTGTTATTAATGCAGAGTCACCTCTCCCGCTCCCCACCTCTTCTTTTAAAGCTGGGTTATAATAGTTTTTTAAAATGTAATCTGGACACTAGACCCTTATCAAACAAGTGGTTTCCAAACATTTTCCCCTCCTGTTGTGTGTGCTGTTTTTCTACTTTATAAGTACTGTTGTTCAAAGTGGAAAGCTTCTCTTATTTACACAAAGCCCATTTCTTTGCTTTGGTTGCTGTGATTTGGATGTCCTGTCTGAGAAGCTGTCACCATGTGATGGAAATTCACACCTGTAATGCCTTTGGATAAATTTTATAACTTTAGCTCTTATATTGCTATTTGGTCCATTCTGAATTAGTGTTTGTATAGCATGAAATAGGAAGCTCCAGTTTCATTATTTTGCATGTGATTATCTAATTTGTTTTACAGCACAAGTTAGGTATGCTGCTGCAGGCCTGTAACTTCAGCACTCAGAAGCTGAGGCAGATGGATCTCTTTAAGGCTAGCCTGGACTACAAAGTCAGTCTCTGTGTTTAAAAATCCAAAACAATTTTGCTAGGACATTGATTGATTGATTGATTGATTGATTGATTGAAATGGGGTCTGTGTAACCTTGACTGACCTGGAACTTTATATGTAGACCAAACTACTGCCTCCCAAATTCTGGTACTAAAGGCATGTGCTGCCATGCTCAGCTGGGATAACTTTTGGAGAAGACTTCTTCCTCCATTGAGTTCTCTTGATATCCTTGTTTAACAACAACTGGCCATAAAGCACATAGGTTTATTTTTGGACTTTCAGTTCTTTTCTATTAATGAGTATGTCTATGGCAGCCTCATATAGTCAGTCACAACAAGAATCTCACATTAAAATATCTAATGTGGGGGCTGGAGAGAGCTCAGGGGTTAAAAGCACTGGCTGCTCTACAGAGATCCTGAGTTCAATTCCCAGAAACAA